AATTTGCCCTAATGTTTTGAAAGCACTTTGCCCTTAATTATTTATCATTTCCCTGTTTAACTCATCATGAAGAAATTCCTGGGGCCGGCCCGGTAGCATAGTGGTTAAGTTCTCACGCTCTGCTTCAGCGGCCTGGGGTTCACAGGTTCGGATACCGGGTGCGGACCTACTCACCACTCATCAAGCCATGCTGTGGCAGGCGTCCCACATAAAGTAGAGGAAGATGGGCACGGATGTTAGCTCAGGGCTAATCTTTCTCACAAGAAAAAAAGAAAGAAAAGAAATTCCTGAGGAACTGCCTTAAAATCAGGAAGGATGTTCTTATCAGAAACATTCTTTAAGGAATACTGACTACAGGGTATAGGATTTTAAAAAATAGCCAAAGTTGGGGCCAGCCCTGTGGCATAGTGGTTGGGTTCAGCACGATCCACTTCGGTGGCCTGGGTTAGCGGGTTTGGATCCCGGGCGCAGACCTACACTGCTCGTTGGCCATGCTGTGGCAGTGACCCACATACAAAATAGAGGAAGACTGGCATAGATGTTAGCTCAGGGTTAATCTTCCTCAGCAAAAAAGAAAAAAAAATAGCCAAAGTAAAGCAAATTTCAACTTAAAAAAGAAATAGCTGTCCAGATAGCACATTGCAGAGCTAGACAGTACATAGTGTGACAAAACTCAAGGTACAGTTAAAAAACAGCAAGACAATTTATGTCTTCAATATCTCTATGGTTTCAATTTTCTTAAATAATAGTGGGAAGCTGCACAGTGACTTGAAACTGATGACAAAGCAAATCACCTGACCTTGTTTCTATATTTTTATTTTTCTAATATATTTTAGCTGCTGTACAAAATATTACTGTAATGTGGGGTGTCTCTTCTATACTGAAATACTATGTTCAACTTGCTAGGCCACCAACCTTTTTCTATGCTTTTACAGTGTCATTCTTTGTTCATGTCCATTTCTTCTTTTCTTTTGGTGTCTAACTTCAAACAATTTTACCCAGATTATATGCAAATATATGCTGCTTTATAGAATCTTTGATAACTAACGCCTTTCCTCAAAGGCGTGTCATTATTTTCTTCCAGTGAATGAAGCTCTAGTCATCCTCTGATTGAACTTGAATCAAACAATGGAAAATCAGGCTGTAATGTTTACCAACAGCTACCAGTGGCTCTAAAGGGTCATGAGATATCAGCAAGGTTCTTCTCACTCACAGAATTTCCTGAAGAGGGAACAGTAACCAAAAGATAGGTGCTTGCAGTTTAGAAGTCAACAGAAGAGAGAAAGCGCCCTCTGAGTCAAGGTATCCTGGAGGTAAATCCTGCCTTCACCACTTTCTTAAAGAAGACTGAGGTGACCTATCTCCCAGGGCTCCGGCGTTTAGATGGTTCCCGCGTATAGAGTGCCCAGCACAGACCTCTTCTCTGAGCTCCAGGCTGCCTACGTCACTTCCACCACATTGTCTCAAGAGCAAGGAAGACTCAACACTCCTTCACCCCCAGCCCACTCCAAGGCCTGCTGATTGTTCCTCCTCGATATCTTCCCAGTCCGCCCACTACTCTCCATCTCCCCTGCTACCACTCAGTCTACAACACCATCTCTCTCCTAGACTAATGCAACAGCCTCCCAACTGGTTTCCCCAAATTCACCTTTAAAACCCCTCTGGAGTCTCCTCAATGCTCTTGGATGAAGACTAAGACCCTTAATACGGTCTACAGAGCCTTGCAAGTCAACCCTAACCTGCCTCTCCACCTCTCCTTCTGCATTCCCCCTCCTTATGCTACAGCCACACTCTCTGCTGCCTGAGGGCCTTTGCACACACCGCTCCTTTGCATGAAGTGGAAGGATCTTCTCTATTCCTGACCCCACCCGGCCTAATTATTGCCTTTACTGATGCTCAAAGCTAGGTCAGGTCCACCTCTCATCAGAACAGGTGTCTTTTCCTTTTCACAGTTGAGGAATTAGAATTTTACTTGGGTGATTAATCAACGTATGTCTCTTCTACATCACCGTAAAGTCAAAGGAGGGCAGGGAACAAATAAATCTTACTATCTTAGTTTGTATGTTCTGGAAACAGAGCCTGAGATAAAGACTTGGGTCAGATGGTTCATCTGGGAGGTCCTTCCAGAAAGAATGAATAAGAGAGAGTAAAAGAGTGAAACAGGGAAGAAAGGAAAGCCAACATAAGGGTGTATTACCAAGGTTAACACTGTGGACAGCAGAGCGTCAATCCCACCAGGACCTCCTGGGAGCCATGCAGATGCCACCAAGAATTGGCCCCCTGGAGGATGGAGGCAGAAGCATCTTTCCACTGGCTTCAGTCCTCCACTAGTTTGAGGCCATGCCCCGGGGCGTTAACCCTCCCATCTCCAGTCTGTGCTTGCACTCCAAGTGGGCCCCACGGCATCAGAGAACCGGGGCAAAGAGCAAGTACAACGCTGTCACCACAAAGTGCATCTGAAACCACACTGAACCGTCCCTCAAAGCTGTGTCTGAAAATGGAGGTGGGACATGAGGATGTGGCTCAGAGACCAAGGGTGTCTGCTACACTCACTGTCTCCCTGTGCCCAGGACAGCGCCTGGTACCCCAGAGAACCCCTGTAGATGGTAGTAGTGGTGGTGGTTCTCAAGTCATTATCTTTTTCACATAAATATAACTTCTTTCCAACAGCACTGGTAGAGTATAAAAAAAAGTTTGGGAAAGGAGGGCAAGTTAATTCCACTATGATGTATGGAAGGTCTCTCCACATGGGCCACTCAGGACTCAGGAAGAGGGGTTCCTACAATAACAAAAAGAGTGTGAACGTTTATACTGTTGCAGAGAGAAGAGTGATTATGTGCTTCATAATGTATGTAGCTATACTTAATAACTTGGGCATGCATTCCCAAACATTATTTTGCCTCTAGAACATCAAGAAGTTACGTTTGGACACTGGAAGGCAAACATTATATTTATGTACAAAACAATTGGAGACCCAGAGGAAAAACCAGCCTCAGGACATGAACTGGGTGATATGGTAGTATAAATTCTTCCTAATCCTAAAGCTTCTACAAACTCCATAAGATCATCACAGACGACTATCAGAAACGAATCAAGTGTTGCAAAATGAGCCACTTACATACAAAGCTCAGTTCGGCCAGATCTTTTAAACTTAAGGACTTTACCCACTTCAGATTCAGGGAGTAAACATAGATTTACTGAGTATGTATTATGTACATGGATATCACTGAGGAGGTGTGGAGGAAAAAGGAAAACAGATTCAGCTCCTGTGATAAAAGGATGATCTAGTACAATCTAGAACAGGAAGACGGACCTAGATACAGATGAAAATGTATGCCTCAATGCCCATCTCTTCTATGTCACTGTAAACACACAGGAGTGAAAAGCAAAATGTTATTTAAAACCAAAACCGCAACCACTTCTGTTGCCTGAAGAGGAAGCACAATTCATATCTGTAGACAGATCAATCTCTCTATTTCCCCTTCCCATCTAAAGGGACTGATGAAGGAAGGAGAAGGGAAAGGCAGAAATTTCAAAGCCTCTCGCAGATCTTCCAGGCATATAAAAGGTAGATAGAGAGTCCTTTGTCTTCAGCAGGCCTTAATGGAGAGGAGCTCCAGAAATGGAGAAAATCAGGAGATCCATGCCAAGCCTTAAGGAAGAGAGGGGTCAAGCAATATGGCAAGAAGTTGGAAGCTTCAGGCACCTGTGGCAGTGGATAGCCAGAGATCTCTAAGAACTAAGGGATAGAACCTTCGATACCAAGATGCTACATTGCTGCATGTAAACAAGGCAGAAATTAACATCCTCTGTGCCAAGTCTAGAGCGAGTTCCCCACAGCCCAACTGGGTCTTTAGGGTCCTGCTAACTGGGGTCCTATAATGCTGTGGCTGCACCATGCAGGGCCTTTTCTGACAACCCTGCAAACCCAGCAGGTTGGGAAGACCGTAAATAGAAATACTTGTAAAGAACTAATCAAAACATCTTTACTTCAATGTAACCGACATCGGGAAACTATGGAAAAAAAAATTCCACCAAATTTTTTTTAAGTTTATTCTTAAAATCTGGGCTTGCTTCCCATTTCTGAAATCAAAGTCTATTACAAAGGATAAAAACTAAAGGAAAATCAGGGCCAAACAGGAAAGACACACCAGAAATATGATGTAAGAGTCCCATAAAATATTGAAGCCCATCCACCGAAAGCTTCCCTGGTTGGCCTCTTCTGAAAGTCTGCACGTACACACACAACCTCCTCACCCGGAAAGAAACTCTTCCAGGCCATGACAGTGTACCAGCAAAACCACACAGATGTGATTTCTGCCCACACTCTAGGCCTTCGTGGTCTCAAGTATAATGTGATGTAAACAATAAACAACAAATATCTATAAAACAGGATGTAAACAAACAAGAATCGGATGAAGAGGCTCAAGATTAGAAACAGGAGTCTTCACGGTGACACTAAAGATGGTGAGAAGGGTGGAGGCTGGGAAGAGGGGAGAACAGGAGGGAGGGCAAGAGCGACTGTCGAGTGGACAGTGGGCCACAAACTACCTTGGAGGGCACCAGGGAGAGCCCGTTGTTCTGGAACGGCTTCAGAGTGCAGCTGGGGTTTCCAAAGTTAAATGCTACCCGGGGTAAAGAACAGCATCAGGACCTTCAGATACACGTCTAATACCTGGTCTCCAAATTACCAATCCTGGGCTGGCCTACAACTACGGGTTATCAACCCAAATCAGCAGCATGATTGGCTGCCAAATTGGCATGAGAGCCTGCCCCTGCCCCGATTTTGAACCAGAGTCACCACGCCAAAAAAGGAGCTGTTTCTCCTTTGTGCAGTGTCATTATTTTTATTCAAATATAAATTCACCCTTGAAAGCATAAGAAGGAAGTTATGCTTCTGTATTAAGAGTAAAAGGTTATTTTCACTTAAAAATAACGTCACATGGAGCCAGCCCTGCCGGCCTAGTGGTTAAAGTTCCGTGTGCTCTGCTGCAGCGGCTAGGGTTCAGTTCCCGGGCGCGGAACCACACCACTCGTCTGTCAGTAGCCACGCTGTGGTGACCGCTCACATAGAAGAACGAGAAGAACCTATGCACAACTATGCACTGGGGCTTTGGGGGGGCGGGGGGGGGAGGAGGAAGATTGGCACAGATGTTAGCATAGGGCGAACCTTCCCCTGCAAAAAAAGAAAAAAAAAAGAATTGGGAAACTCCTTGGATAAGCTTTAACAAAAAAGTCAGAGAAAAAGCCATGGGAAAACAGACCTGGGCCTGTTTAAAAAAATAAAAAAAAAAAAAAAGGTCACACAGGGGCAAGGAGAAAGAAAATGCACAATTATTTCAACAGGCTTATTTGTAGTAGAATTTGCATTGTTTGTATATAAGGAAAACTAGAAAGAAATGGTTTAATAGTGTGTATCTGTGAACAACGTTGACTTTGCCAATATCTTACTCTGGAGAGGGGAAGGGAGTGTGGAGGAGGAGAAGGGTAGGAGGGAAAAAGGGGGAGGGAATGGAGGAGAGGCGAGGAAGACAGAGGTGAGGGAGAGGAGGGGAGGAGTGGGGAGGGAAGAGGAAATGAGATGTTTATCTTCACGACAGTATTAACTAGAGCTGAGGATACATACATAACCTAAAAGAAGGATGCCTTGTTTATTTTCAATATGCTTGCACACACGTTATTAATCACACCGGCCATGGAGTGTAATTATGTAACCCAGTTTTACTATTTGAACCCTCCCAAGGCTGCACCTGGAATTACTCAAAAGCATTTTGCCCCCATTGAGAAACAAAGAAACAAAGTCTCAGCCACAGTAATAAAATTCCGGAGTGAGACCTTCCCCACCATGCCTGCAAGCCCTTCTACTACATTTGGTTCAGGGCCAAACCAAAAGTTCCGAGGAGGTCAAATATTCAAAATCTAGCCCAAAATATTGTCACAATTCACAATTAAGGCACAGGCAAGCTAGAGACATAAATTTAGCAGGGTTTTATATTTTTAGCAATGTTTACAAGACTACGCACTTCTCTGCAAGTTATGCAATTTTCATGACCTCATGCTGTAAACGCTGGTTTCAGATTTAGTTCTCAAAAGTAAGGGACTGTATTTCACGTTATTTTATTCTAACACTCACCAACAACACCCACATTCCTACACTGGCCAAAGAAGTCTTTTGGGTAATTACTGAATCAGCACAGACTGAAAGAAGCTTAAAAAGGGATTTACAGGTAAATTGGTAGATTGTTAATACAACCCTACAACCAAGATGCTAGGCTACTTACTTATATTCACAGATATCAAGAGACAGCTATCAATTTTCAAAGCCATAAGATATCCAGCCTTTCTGCATGAGGCATATACTGGTCTATCACCTGTCCTTCTAAGTTCCTCTGAAATCTTCCATGGGATAATCATTTGGGATTCCAGATAAATATTTAGCCACATGTATTCATCCATTCTTTCTACATAATTTCTGTTTTCTTCTCTTTATTACTTTTATCCAAGGCTTCACCATCTCACATCCATGTATATACTGTTTATTTTTAAATTTAGTTATAACACACGTGCAATAAAGTACACAAATCATAATTACACCATTCCATAATTTTTTACATATGTATATGCTCACGTAATTATCACCCAAATCAAATACATTGCAGGAAATGTACACATAATTGTTCATGTCCATATACACATATACAAACCCACACCCACACCCAAACCCACACACTCCATCCTTAGGATTGCATTAAAGCTGTGGAATAAACAAATAGGAAAGAGGTCGACCACAATATGATCAACTGCTAAAACACTGCTTTTTTAGTTGATTGTGGAAAAAATAAAGAATTTAAAGTATCATTTACAATTTGATGCAGAGATCTTGTTACCACATTTCTAAGTCTTGAATCACTAGCCCTTTCATTAAATCATGTTGCCTTGCCACTAAGTCTTAACTAGTTATTTTCTTTAAAAAGCTATTGTAAGTCACAGACTAGGAAAACCATTTGCAAATCACATATCCAATAAAGGACTTGTATTATATATATATGTAAAATTTTCAAAACTCAACAATAAGAAAACAACCCCAGTTTTTTTGTTTTGGGGGAGTGTTTTTGGTGAGGAAGATTGGCCCTGAGCTAACATCTGTGCCAATCTTCCTCTTTTTTCGTGTGTGGGATGCCGTCATAGCATGGCTCGATGAGCAGTGTGTAGGTCTGCGCCCAGGATCCGAACCCGCGGACCCTACGCCACCAAAGCAGAGCACGCAAACTTAACCGCTACGCCATCGGCCAGCCCCCACAACCCCAGTTTTTAAAATAGGCAAAAGGTCTGAATAAAAGATCTAAATATCTGAACTTCATCAAAGAAGATATATGGATGGCAGATAAGCACAGGAAAAGAGGTTCAACATTATTAGTCATTAGGGAAATGCAAATTAAAACCACAGTGAGATACCGCTATATGCTACTAGAATGGCTAACATTTAAACAAATAAAATAATAACACCAAAAGCTGGTGAGGATATGGAGCAACAGGGGGAAATGCAAAATGAAACAGCCACTTTGGAAAACAGTTTCAGTTTCTTATAAAGTTATATATACATCTACCATACAACCCAGCAATCCCACTCTTAGGTATTTACCCAAGTGAATTAAAAACATGCTCATACAGGGGCTGGTCTGGTGGCTTAGTGGTTAACGTCACGCACTCCATTTTGGCGGCCCAGGGTTCACAGGTTCGGATCCCTGGAGTGGACCTATGCACCACTTATCAAGCCACGCTGTGGCAGGCATCCCACGTATAAAGTAGAGGAAGATGGGCACGGATGTTAGTCCAGGGCCAATCTTCATCAGCAAAAAGAGGAGGACTGGCAAAGGACGTTAGCTCAGGGCTAATCTTCTTCACCCCCCCCCCAAAAAAAAATGTCATACAAAAACCTGTATGCAAATATTCATTCATAATCACCAAAAATTGGAAACAACCAAAATGTCCTTCAACAATTAAATGATTAACAGTAGTACATCCAAACAAGGCAATACTACTCAGCAATAAAAAGGAACACTATTGATTCACCCAATAAACTAGATGAATATTACATGCATTTTGCTAAGTGAACCAAGTCAGAAAAAAAAGGGCTACATATTTTATAATCCCGTTTATATGACATTCTGGAAAAGGCAAAATTCTAGGGAGAGAATTAGTGGTTACCAGGAGATGGAGGACCACACAGAGAATTTTAAAATGCTGGAACTGTTCAGTATGGTACTGGGTAGGAGATACATGATTCTATGCATTTGTCAAAACTCATGGAACTGTACAGCACAAAGAGTGAACAAAATTTTTAAAAACCAACCAGCGTATCAGGGATCTCAGAATGGAATGCAGACTGTAAGAAAGGAATGTAACTCTATCACAAATGGGTGGATGACATACCTTCACTGCAGTGGGGGGGTGGGAGGGAGAGGAGATGACTTGCACAACTTTGGAGCCCAGTATTCTGATGGATACTATAAGGTAATGACATAGATAGATAGATAGACAGATAGATAGATAGATAGATAGATAGATAGATAGATAGATAGATACACACACACACACATAAACACTGTACTGTGGTTGGTAACTGTGTTGCTCAAGAGTACCAGCTGGCAATTCTGAAACTACTTTATACACATACAAGGATTGAACACATTCGGAAATAAATTGTAGATGATCGGAGCCAAGATTTTCATTGTCGGAAAACGAAGCTACAAAGAAGCAAAGGAGGAAAGCAAGAATGAACCCTGTGGTGCTGGATAATATCCACTCAGGTAAACAGATGCAAAAATCAATATGGTTAGGTGTGTAGATTCTGAGATAACAATATGAACTCACCTTTTAATATACATACAGATAGATACAAAAATATAGACATACATGTAGAATCAGAGACATCAGTAGGAACTCATGTTTATTTTAAGACAGACAGAGAGAAATACAGATGTGTATATACACGGATTAGGAAATACAAATATTTGTATTCCTAGCTCTGTTCATTGAGAGGGCCTAGAAGAAGCAACAACACTCCAGTAGCAATGAGCACCCTCAGCACCCAGATCTTGGTTTCTAAATACCATTCTCAAGTAAAAGGAACCACGGCTCCTCGGGGCTGGCCTGGTGGTGTAGTGGTTAAGATCTTGGGCACGGACCTACACAATGCTCATCAAGCCACACTGTGAGGGCATCCCATATATAAAGTAGAGAAAGATGGGCATGGATGTTAGCTCAGGGCCAATCTTCCTCACCAAAAAAAAAAAAGGAACCGGGGCTCTTCGGAGAAATGGCTGATTCTAGAGCCGGAGTAGGGAAAAACTTAAGATGAACCTGGTACATCCTATAGTGCCAGAACACCAAAAGGACACAGGAGCCAACCTGAAAGAGTTGTTGATCGCCAAATTTGAAACAACTTGAGCAACATAACAATGATAGCATTGGGCTATAACCCAAAGAATAAAATAAATGACCATGAGTCCATACCAATATAAGTAAATAACTGAATAAACAAATAGAGGAGAAGGAACAAATCTTCCTGACAAAAGAATTGCAATTATTAAGTGTAGAAAGAATGAGGGATATAGTAAACCATCATTATAACAGCACAGTCATAACTGCCATACGTTGGATAAATACTAAAAGCAGCTGGCAGTGTAACATGTTAAGGAGAAACAGGATACTTGCAATGCCTCAAAGTACATCCCCCAAATGTGCTAAATGTGCTGGCTTTCAGATATGACCACACATTATTTGATATTCCTCCCTCCAGAAGGTGGAGCTAAATGCCTTCCGCTTGATAGTGGGCTGGATTTGGTGACTTCCTTCTCACAGAGTATAGAAAGTGAAAAATAGTAATTGTACTGTAGAGAAAGCTGGCTGACACCACTTTAACCAAGTGATCAAGGTTAACATCACCAGTAATAAGTCATGTTGATATCACATATCCCTAATATGATGCAAAGAGAAGGGCACATCACCTTTATGATATTCTATCCAAAATCCATAACCTCAATCCAATATGAGAAAACATCAGACAAACACAAATAGAGGGACATTCTACAAAATTCCTGATCATTACTCACCAAAAATGTCAAGGTCTTTCACGACCTTGGAAAAACCAAGGAAAACCACGAAATGGTCACAGATTGGAGAATACTAAGGAGATATGACAACTAAATGTAACAAAGAATCATGAACTAGATCTTGGAACAGAAAACATATATTAGTGGAAAAACTAAGGAAGGCAAAATAAGGTTTATAGTTTAGTTAACAGTGTTGTGCCAATGTTAATTTCCTAGCATTGATGCCTGAAATATCTTTTCCCTCTCCATGTTGCATAGCCACCTCCTAATAATCTTACAAAACACAGGTCAGGTGCCTTCTCTTCCAGGAAGTCTTCCATGATCACACTCTCTCTGGTTTGTTAGATACCATTCCTCTGTGCTTCTATCATAACACTTACCATTTAGTATTGTACTGATCTTTCCTGATTAGCATCCTACAGGGGATTCTAGAATAAAATGTATCCCACTCTAATATAATTATCTATTTCTTTCTCCCACTTGGGATCCCTGAAGAAGACAGGATAGTGGGTGATTATGATCACGAGTTCTGGAGACCTCCCAGATCTCAGTTTGAATCCCAGCTCCACAACTTTCCATGTGATCTCGGGCAAGTTACTCAAATCTATCAGAGCCTCAATTTTGCTCATTGGTAAAACAGATCTAAGACAAAGAGTTGTTTGAGGATTTAATGAAATAATGTGCATAGGATACTTAGCTCAGTGCTTGCATATAGAATGTTTTCAATAATGGTAGTGACTGTTACCAATCATCTTCATCAATGTCAAGGGCTAAGTCTTCTATTTTCCAGTGATTTGTATAGTGCCTGGCAGGTGATAAGGAGTCAGTAAATGTTTGCTAAGTGAATGAATGAATTAATCAATTATTAACATCGACAAACATTTATCCAATAACTACTTCACATATTAGCAGCCTTTATCCTCAAGAGTTTTATGGGCTATAATTGCTTCTCTGGCTGCACATTAAAATCACCTGGGGAACCTTAACACTATATTAATATTCAAGCCCCACCCTCAGAAATTCTGATTTAATTGGTCTGAGATAAGACAGATTGAGCCACTAATCTAGTTGGAGGAACAGGAAATATACATTAAGATATATGTATACAGAAGTAACAACATCCCAGTAGCAACTAGCACATCTTGCACCCAGATCTTGGTTTCTAATTCCTTGGTTTCTCCAAGGACTCAGGGCTCCTTGGAGCAATGGCTGATTCTAGGACTGGGGCAGGAAGAACCCACCATGACGGGGGTAGGTCAAAGGAATACAAGAGCCAACTGAAAGAGCTCCCAGTGGCCAGCTGGAAAAATTTGAGCAACAAAATAAAACAGTATTGGATTATAACCTAAAGTATAAAATAAATATCCATGAATCCATACTGATAAAAATGATTGAATAAATAATTAAATATGGGGGAACACACAAATCTCCCATGCAGAATTATAAATAATTTATGTAGATTCTTTGACCTCAAGGAGATGGAGCATAACTCCCACTCCTTAAGTGAGGGCTGTGCCTAGTGACTTTCTTCCCAAGAGCACAGTATAGAAAGAGAGAAAAAGAGGAACTTTACAGTGGAGAAAGCTGACAAATCCTACCTCAAGCCAGGTGATCAAGGTTAACATCAACAGCGATAACTCATATTGATAGTATGCACTCTTGACATCATGTGATAATAGTAGCACCTTACCTCTGTGATCTTCCTCCCCAAAACACATTAGCCCAGTCTAATCAGAAAATTTGAGGGACATTCTACAGAATATCTGACCAGTACTGTTCAAAATTGTCACGGTCATCAAAAACAAGAAAAGTACAAAAACTGTCACAGGAAAGAGGAGGCTACAGAGACACGATGACTAAATGTAATGTGGTGTCCTGGATGGGATCCTGGAACAGAGAAAGGACATTAGGAAAAAACAGAGGATGTGGGAATAGAGTGAGGGCTGTAGTGAATAATAATGTTCAATATTGGCTCATTAGTTGTAACAAATGTACTGTAATAATGTAAGATGTTAATAATAAGAGAAACTGGGTGTGGGTTATACAGGAACTCTCATACTATCTGTGTAATAATTCTGTAAATCTAAAACTGTTCTACAATAAAAAGTTTATTAAAAGAAAAAGAAAGTTGGCCAAGTGATAAATGGATGGTATCATTCCATTGTCATTGGTCAGAGTGTAAAGAAATTGCTGAAGAGTCATGAAAAATTTCAGAAAAGAGCAGGACTCAGCCCAGGGAAACAGGCAGATGTGAGTAAAAACTCTCAATGCCCAGGACCCAAGAACGGAACAAGGAGATCCATTAGAACCAGTTAGACAAGAGAACAGAGCACAAAGGGAAAAACGAAGAAAAGATCATTTGAACAAACTATTTGTGAAATAAAAAGACACCGGAAGAAAATAGCTAATTTTGAATTGATTTTTCTGGCAGTAGATGCTCAATTCTTTACCAAACTCTTCTCACTCTAACGTGTTCATTCATTAACACCCCACATTTTCTGTCTCCTTATACAAAAGATCTTTTCTAATTAAATATGTGTATTAAGGGAGAGTGGGCAAGAAAATCTCATGTAAGAAATCAAAAGCTGTTTCAGATTTCAGAAGATGGACCCCCAAAGTCAATATTTTACTGATTTCTTTTCATCACTGAAGATGTAACATGATACTAAAATATATTAATTCGATCTTATATAACCTTGCTTCCTAAAACTGATCCCTCAGGCACTTCATGGGTAATTAGCATGTCCTTGTTAGTTTTCTTTGGAAAACTTTTGCACAGAAATACGATAATATTTCTGACGCATGAGAGAAACTTGGAATCTTTAAGCTGCTGTTACAGGATGGTACTTCGATTTTAGCATGTGCCACAAAAGGAATAAGCCAGAGCTTAAAAAATATACACAGCCCAGAAAGACACATTTCTTTTTTATTCTACTGAAATATGTTCTGGAATGGTCAGAGATCCAGACAAATCTCTTCTAACACAAAACACACCCAAATAATGACTCCCCAGGTGAAGGGAATGGCCACACGTTGCTATTCCACAGCCAACAATCCTGTTCCAGAGCTTCCTGCAACCACAAGATGTTCTCGTCCACCTCACGTACAAAACTACGAAAAATAACATTCAACATTATATTTCCTCAATATGTACACAGACCATAACAATTAAACCAATGTCTTTAATTAAATTATAGACTGTAAGACGAACATCCCTGCCTTCTCTCTTACAAATGTCATGAAAGCTAACACAAACGCTCTGCGGTCTTCCAAAGCTTTCTGAAACAGCACTTTACAACACATGTACACAATCTCAAGTACCTTATTGACTAATACCACAGGAGATGCTTTATATCACAATTCCAATACACATTTTTAAAGCTTTGTTCTTATATAGACTAGAAATCCTTGAGCCAGCCCTGATGGTCTAGTGATTAAAGTTCTACGCTCTCCACTTCAGCAGCCCAGGGTCACTTCCCAGTCGTGGAACCACACCATCCGTCCATCAGTAGCCATGCTGTGGTGGAGGCTCACATAGGAGAACTAGAAGGACTTACAACTAGAATATACAAATATGTACTGGGGCTTTGGGAATTAAAAAAAAAAAAAGAGGAAAGATTAGCAACAGATGTTAGCTCAGGGCGAATCCTTCCCTGCAAAAACAAAACAAAACAAAAAAGGGAATCCTTTTATTCCTATGAATACACATGGTATGGCACTACCAAGTAACTTCCCGATTTCCTTTTTCTCTCCCACCTAACTTACATTTCTGAGATTGTCTCTAAGCATTATTTAGCACCAAGTGACAGTAATAGCTTTAAAAAAATGCAAACCACAGGAACAATCCTCCTCTAAACAATACATGGACCTTGAAACATTTTAGCTCCAGTATCTCCATTCCCATCTTCCATGTTATTGTTGTCCAGTATTTTAGATCCAAATTGTTTTAATCACCTCAAAATTAGTCAATTTTGCTGTTGTTGTTTGGTTGGTTTTTTTCACAATCTGATGCCTATAAAAATGTATACATGTTTCCCAAAGTCTTTGCTCATCATGGCTTCTTGCATTCCATTTCTTCCTTTTGATTTCAATTCTTTCCTTTACGTTTATGGGTGGTAATCCCTCTCTTCCTCTGTGAGTTTGAAAATATCTTGCTCTCACTCTTGAGTGACAATTTAAATGGGTAGAGATATGGACGTGGAAGTTGAAAGTATTATTCCATTATCTTCTGCCCTCTCTTGAGAGTTTGTTTGGAAGTTCTAGCAGGGGAGCACAGCTATTCATATACCCTTGACCAAACAACAGTCCTCCTCTATCTGGGAAGCTCGTCCTCTTTGACCGAGTGCACAGCTGTGGGAGGGACGCATGTGGAGCAGTGAGGGAGGGGACACCCACCCAGCCAGCCAGGTCAGCTGAATCAACCCTGGTGATCGATGGGGTATCAGATGTCGCAGCCAGATCGCCCTCACATCCTCTTCTGCACTCTCTTATTGCAAGTGAGAATTCTATTATCAGTAGAACCACTATGTCTTTGTAGATAATCTATCTTTTCTACCTGATTCTCTTAAAATGTTCCTCTTCAACTCTGGAGTTCTACAGTTTCATATAACTTATATGTGGCTTTGCTTTTGAATTTCCTGCCCCTGATTCAGTGTAATTCTCCCAATACAAGGATGTGTCCTTCATCAGTTCTGAAAAGATTATCTGCTAATATGTTTTTGAATATTGGCTCTTTCCAACTTTATTCTATTCTTCTAGTCTCTATTAGACATATTGGACCTTTTCATTCTATCCTGCATGTCTCTGAATCTCTTGCATGTTTCCAATCTCTTTATCATTCTCTGCTACATTTTGGGTAATTATCTCAGCTCACTCCTTACATTCACTAGTTCTCTCTTCAGCTTTGTCTAATCTGCTATTAACTGTCTACTGAGTTTCTAATTGCAAGTACATTGTATTTCTACAAGTTCTATTTGGTTCCTTTTCAAATATTTCTATTCTCATTTCATAGTGTACTATTATTTTTATTCTTAACCTTAATTAGTAATAACATACTTATTCCATAATTCCTTTCAGACTTCTTTAGTATCAGTTCTCAGAGTACAAATACTCCTGATTGTTATTTTTTTTGCCTCTTCAGAGTGGATTCTTTCTTCACGTTGTTTGTAATTTATGACCATGAGCTCATCTTCAGAGAAAATTGTTTTCCTGTGGGAATCTCATGTTGTTTCTGTTTGTCCCTGTGATTTCACCTGTCCAAGACCAGTTTTTAAGTTAATTTATTAGCTTCCTACTATCCACAGACAGCACTAAGCTGATGAAAAGAGGGAAATTGGTGGATTTGAATACTATCTACATTCATTACTCAGCTACTAACTTTTTTTCCTTGAATGCTAAGTCTTGGTTGTTTAAGTTAAAAGGAATATGTGAGCAATAAAATCAGAATATCATCAGGGAAGGCCAACTGGCTTTCACCCAAGAGGCCTCCTTGGACCCCATCATCTCAGTGAATTCCCCACAGACCAGAGCATGGCTGTAGCTTAGAAGGTGAGAAGGATCAGAGGAGGAATCACATCAGTGCACAGCGTGGGAGTGCCTCCCAGGGGAAGACGCACATCAACAAGCTCACAGAGACCGACAGCCTTTTAACTGAGGATGAAAAATCTAACTCTCCAGCACACCAGGCTATTTGCAGCAGCATGACCTGCACAGCGGATATACAGGGGATGACAAATTGTATTCAGGAGGGTGTTTGCTCAACTTGGACACAAAAAAAAGGCGGGTTAGCTGGATAAAATGAAATTTTAATGCCATCAGACTAAAAGACCTGATACAATATACCCAACCTCCCCCACAATTCCTGGCCAATGAAACATAAATGTTCCAAGTTCATTACCCGTAGTAACAGTGTTACATTATACACTCAGATCTTACAGGCTTTTCTGTCTCTATCAGGTGATTCTGCCCATCTCTGCTCTGATCCATTATGAACTCTTTTATAATTTAACTTTCAAAGAGAAATGAATTCCCCTTGTTTCTAAGTCATTGAGAAAGATGATAATCATTTTTTAATCTGTAAATACTGTTAAACTTGTCAGTATTTCACTGATGGCAAAATATATAGGAATATGCTTTTGTAGTAATTATTTTGAAATAGTTCCAAGCCTTCCTAAAAGTTGCAAGAATAGTTTTAAGATCTCCCATATCCCCCTCATCTTGACATCCAGTTTCTCCAAGTGTCGACATCTTACCATATTTGCTTCCTTTTCCTCTCTCTCTCTCTCTCCATATACATTCCTTAGAGCAATATCTTGATAAGTATATTGCATTCTTATCATCTGAGCTTTCTAAATGTAAATAATGTTTCCTTAATGTTTCAATACTTTGTATGCCCAATGTCATGGTAATAACCTACTTTTCTTCTATTATACCATAAAAGGCACAGAAGATTGAGGAACTTGCAATAATATCAGGATATACTCTGGGTTTTGCTTTTAGAAATAAATTTCATTCATTTATATACACATTCATTCAACAAATACCTGTTAATAATTCAGCAAATACTAATAACATAATTCTGCTAGATGTCAAATTTACAATAGTCAAGAAAACAAACATGGTCCTGGCACTTATGGAACTTACAGGATATTTTCCTAAGATTTATTTCTATCATAGAATTTATGGCTAATCAGATCATGGAGAATAGAGATTTTCCTGTTGCATATTACACTATCAATTTCATAATCTTTCAAAAGTTCAGCGTTTATTAAGCATAATCAAGGGATAATTAGAATATTTAAAAGTTCTGTCTATGACTAATCAATAGATCAAGCAACTTGTATGTCATTTCAAATGGCACATTAACATGAAATATTATTTTGCTGCCTGCACTATAAATCAATCACTGGTATTATTATTTTTATGGTACAAGTAAAATAATACAAGTAAAATCACCATAATAGACAGAGGGGTTTAAATTATATTCTGCATTTTTTGCATCTTAATATATTATGTATAGGAGCACTAAATGGTTAACCACATTCTTCTCGCATGCCCCTCTTCCCCTCTTCCACACTGTCTCCTTCCTCCCCACACAAACCACAGGCAACAAGTTAAAAAGTAAATCTACTTTCCATGGTGGCAATGCTAAACGAGCTGTGGGAGCTGCATCTTTAAATAGAACAGCATGGAGGAAATTACCACCTCATTTTAAATCCGTTTGCCAAAGTCTTTGAAAGAGGTGAGATTTCATAAGTCATTTGATAGAAAAGAACCACAGCTGAAAAGAGGGCATTTTAGGCCAAAAATATCTTGCCAGTAGACTTACAGGAAACACAATGGTTCAGTAGAAAGAATGCATGCTTTGGAACCAGGTGGAGTTGGGTCTCCATTCTGGCTTACTCATTATTAATAGCGCATTTTTGCCCTTGGGCAAGTTAGTAAGATTCTTTCCTTCTCTAAGGAAAATAAATGTGGAGAATAAAACCTAACTTGAATGGTTAAAAGGATTAAAAATAACAAACCAGCACTTAACATGTGCTCCATCACTGTCACCAATGGAGAGGTCTAAGTCAGGTCTACTGGGGGGGGGGGGGGGGCGTGCAGGCCCTCTATACAGCTCTCCCTTTCCACTGTGTCCCTGTACCTTTGTTGGGATCTCCTGTCCAGACTTTGTCTTTGGCATCCAAAATCTCCAGTCTTCTTATTTTCTATTGGAGACCATTTGCTTCAGTTAGAGAGAGGGTAAGTAGTGAGGTGAGAAAGTTGTTGCTAAAACTATCCAAAAACTATTCAGCTTTTACCCAAATAAAACACTCCTCATGGTGCTATTTCTCTTATCATGATATATATTGAAAACACAGGGGCTGGCCCCATGGCGTAGTGGTTAATTTCGGTGCATTCAGCTTCAGCAGCCTGAATTTGCAGGTTCGGATTCTGGGTGTGGACCTACACCACTCACCAGCAGCCATACTGTGGCAGTAACCCACAAATAAAGTAGTGAAAGATTGGCAACAGATGTAAGCTCAGAGCTAATCTTCCTCAAGCAAAAAAAAGGAAGATTGGCAACAGATATTATCTTAGGGCGAATCTTCCTCAACAATAACAACAAAAAAAAGCAAACACATTTTTCCTTATAACCAGCACATTCTTTTTCAGACAAAGCAGAACTTTTTGTAATCTAAAAAGAAAATTTTAAATGAAAGGATCTTGCTTACCCTGAAGTCGATTTTTCTAATTTCCTTTCCAACCGAACATTGATACCAATTTTTGTAAAATTAATGCTCTTTTTTAAGGACTGGTATTATTTCAAATCAAAACTATTCTGATAAGTGAACTAATTACAAAACTGGAGGTTAGAACAGGCTGTTAAAATGTACACTCAGGACAAGGTTACTTGCTGCTAACACAACAGACATGCCAAGACTTAGCTGCAAGAAAAGTCACAGCAAATTTCCAGCCACAGCAAATTTAACAATTATCACAGCACTCACAGAATCTCCGGAGGCCAAAGTGATGCAAAGACTTGTTCCGAGTTCACAGGCGCATCTGGCAGCCAGGTCAGAATTCTAACGCAGCTTCTAGT